TTTCTGCAACTTTATTAATATCTTGGTATCTATCGTATAATCCTATTATTAACTGTGCCTTGCCTTTTTTAATTAGATGTGGTTTGATGAAAAATCTATAAGGTTTCAAAAGAAAGTTTAAACGTAGATTTGGCGAAGGATTTGTATTGGATAAAGTAAGGCCGACTCTTGGTGAATTATATACAATTTCTTTATGTTTTAAGTTGTTGGACTTTCTTTTATGTTTCATTGATGATTGTGATGATGATTTTATAAAATATGGCGAACTTACACCTGTAGAATATTTTGCTCTTTTATTAAAATTTCTAATTTTTTCTTCACTTCTACCACCATCATCATCACCACCATCGTCATTGTTGCCATCGCCATCGCTATCATCAACATTTTTGGTATATTTCATTTCTTCCAACCAAATCATTCCATTAAAATTCTTAAAATCCTTACAAATTCCACTTTTTCCCTTCCATTTTACTTCGACCATTTCTTTTATACTAAGGTTATCCACCCCACATAATCTCAAAATCTCATCAACAATTAAACTTGGTCCTTCAATCAACTCGTTCTCATCATCGTCTTCATTATCAATAATTCTTTTTATAGAACGTATTAATATTCCACCATAAGCATTCTCATTGCCAAATGTTATATCGATACCTTTTCTGGTTCCACCTCGATATCCAAATTTACCAACACGATGAAAATACCATTCTCCGCTCGTTTTTTGATGTTCATGTTGATGTGAATACGGATCACAATGCAACAGTGCATTATCATTACTGTTATTTTCTAAAGTGTTGAAATAAAATTCTAATTCAATTATTTGATATTTTTTATTTTTCGGTAGATAAAGTATTACATCGTTTATTAAATATTCTGCTATTTTTTTAAATTGCTCACAATTAACTAATCTCTCATTTGGTGATATGTCAAATGTTTGGTGAAAAGCTCTAGAAGCAGATCTGACGCTTTCATCTTCAGAAACTTCATCAGTTCCTTTATCTTCAAAAAAAAATAAAAAAAAATAAAAACTAAAGGTTAACAATGATACAAAAAGTATGTATCACCATTATCATTTTTTGAAAAAAAAAATACAAAAAAACAATTTATGACTTGCAATGCAAGAAAAGAATTTATATAAGAGAATTCACATTGTCTAGTGACCAAAGAATTAATTTTTGTAACAACGTAGTTTTCTTTTTCACCAGGATTATCAAGTTTTAGTAATTCAGAGCTTAAGCTATCTTTTTTTTTAAAAAAATTCAAAATTTGATAATAAGTTGATGATTAACAGAAAACATGATAATTTATAATTATATAATAGATAATAACCTTCTAACCATTTCCAAGCATCCTCGATGCCTTTTGTAGTTTCAGATACAGCAATTTGCAATGTAATGCCAAGTGGATCACTACGAAAAATAATTCGAAAAGGAGGTTGTTTTGTGTCAAGGCTAATTTCCCCATCCCCAAACATCAAGAAAAAAATCATTATAGAATATTGTAAGAATGCAAAGATAAATTTTTTTAAAAAAGATAATGAATGGATTGTAATTATTGGATTATAAACTTACACATTTTGAATAGTGCCAATTACACCTCGAAAAAATATATTACTTGAAGCTTTTGTCTTTTGAAGTATGAAATGTTCAGCAACTTTAACATCTTCCCAAAAGATATTAGCTGCATCACAAGGAATTGGCAGTGTAAATACTCCTCGTGGAGGATCAAAATTAGGAAATCCCATCTGAAGGTTAA